TTCTCTGCCCCTGCACCCTGAGGCCAAGCTCTGCAGGAATGCCACTGAACAAGTTCTCTTGGTCCCTCTGTAAGTTAACCATCACTGACTGCAAGTGACTCTCAACTGTGTCCAAAAGCCCAGCCACATTTCTCTTCTCAAATTTGTTCTCCCATGTTCTGCAACCACATATTCTGGCTCTCCGTGTTCCTTTTAAGCCTCTAAACCCCTCAGCTTCTCACTCTCAACTGATGGCCATGGCTACTACTCCCCAAAGAAAATAGAAGTCATGGACAGGAACTCCTGTCTTCCCTCAGTCAAATCCTGCCTCTTCTGCACACCCCTGTCCTTTTTCTCTCCTGCTAGTAGAGGAGCTGCCTCTCCAAAGCCTTTTCCTCTCTGTAGGCTTGGGATCACATCCCCGCCCCTCCCACCATCTCAGGAAATACTGTGGAATATCCTTCTTTCTCGGGCCTGTCCTCGATCCCTCATCCTTCTCTAGCTCTGCTGCCCTGCTGACTTCTCTCTCCTTCACTTCCAGACTTCTTAAAAACTAGGCATGTTCAGTGTCTGCATTTTCTCATCTCCCATGCTCTCTTCAACTTACTCCAGCCTGGCTCCCGTTGCTTTCTTCCGTTAGAACATCTCATACTAAGGTCTCCAAAGACCTCCAGGTTGCTAAATTCACTGACATTCTCCAGGGGTCATCCTACTTCTCAGAAGCATTCAACACTGTTGATCCCATTTCATTCATTTCCATGAGGTGACACTGTGCTTTTCATTCTTACCTCATGAGCAGTTCTTCCCTATCTCCTATGCAGGCTCATCCTCCTCTTCCAGGCCATTGAATGCTGATGTTCTTCAAGACTGCTCATAGGTTCTGTTGTCCCCTTATTCTGTCCCCTGTCCACCTCATTTACCCCTGTGGAGGAACTGATGTCTTACACACAGATACACTCATGTTTCTCTCCTGCTCCTGCCTCCCCTGTGAGCTTCAGATCCATGGACCCACCCAGCTAACAGTCCACTTAGATGTCACAAGGGCACATCAAATTTAACAAGTTCCAAACTGAACTCTTCTTTAAAACTGCTGTAAGTAAGGTACTAGGTACTTACCACCTAGGAAATTCTATGGGGCAGTTCTACTCTGACATATAGGGTCACTATGAGTTGTAGTCGACTTGACAGCACACAACAGCAACACAATATGAATTTTATCTTCCTGGAAAACAGAACCTTTTATCTTTACGTGGAGACCCAGTTTATCCTAACTAATGCTTTTGTCTTAAAGTTATGTATCCAATATTAATAAAGATAGGCTGGCTTTCTTTTCAGAAATTTTCAGTACATATGTAGTATATATTTTTTTCTGTTCTTTAGCTTTCAACCTTTTTGTATTCTTATGTTTTAGGAACGTCTCTTGCATGTAGCTTATCGCTGTTGTTTCTAATTCATTTTGGCAACCCTTATTTTTAACCTGAGCTTCAAACCGGTTCTTCCTGGTTCAGCCATTGGCCAAGGAAGGAAAATCAGAACAGACCCAAATTTCTACAATTTCTAGCCCTGTTAGAAGCATAATCTCCCTCTTAGAAAACAAGGGCAGTGTACGCACTGCATAGCAACCAAATCCCTTGCCCATTGGATTTTGAACAGAGCCGAAACAGCAGTACACCGCTCAAAGATGGCGGCCCACCGTGCTGCTTTGAATGTGTGGCTCTCCAGTAATCCAATCTCACGCATTAGGCTCTTGAGAGGGCTCACAATGCCTTTTCCAAGTCTCCCATTCCACGGCTTCGACCCATAATTTTTCCCGTTCTGGTTATCATTCCAGATCACCCAAATTGTAAAAATTCGTGTCTGTTCTGGTTTCCCTTCATTGGCCATGACTGAACCAGTTCAAACTGGTTCAAAGCCCTGTTTTGAACTGTTACCTTTAGTCCATTTGTGCTTATAATGATTATTTACATATCAAGATTTATTTCTATCATTTTCTATTTGTCCTACTTTTGTGGTACTTATTTTTTTCTTCTTTATTGCCTTCTTTTTTAAAAATTGAGTATTATTTGTTTTCTTATTCTGTTTTTTCCCCTCTGCTGATTTGTAAATCACATACTGTATTTCTCTTCTTTTAAAGTTTACCCTTGAAATTTTACCATAATACTTAAAGTCTACTGTTAATATCTTATCCCTCCTACTGAACAATACATGAAATTTGAGACATTTTAATTTTGAACATCTGTTTCCCAAGTTGGAGCCTTGGTGGCACAGTAGTTAAGAACTCAGCTGCTAACCAAAAGATCAGCAGTTTGAATCCACCAGCCGCTCCTTGGAAATCCTACTGGGCAGTTCTAGTCTGTCCTATAGGGTCAGTATGAGTCAGAATTGACTCGACGGCAATAGGTTTGGTTTTTTGGGTATTTCCCAGTTTACATGCTATTGCTATTCATTGTTTTATTTCTGATCTTTTTAATCCCATAAACTAAGCAGTATTACAGGCAATGTTTACTTATATATATCTACATGTTTATTCAATTGTTTGCTTACTTTCCCTTTTTGTATCTCAGACCTTCTTCACAGAACATTTAACTTCTTTCTGAATGATATCTTTAGAAGTTCATTTAGTGAGGTCTGTTGTAGGTAAGAAAGTCCCTGGGTGGCCCAAACAGTTTGCACTTGGCTACTAACTTAAAGGTTGGTGGTTCAAATCTACCCAGAGACACCATAGAAGAAAGGTCTGGCAGTCTGCTTCCTTAAAGAGTTCAGCTAAGAAAATTCTATGGGGCAGTTCTACTCTAACATATGGGGTTGCCGTGAGTTGGAATCAACTCAATGGCAACAGGTTTAGTTTTGTTGTTGTTGTAGGTAAATTCTCAGTTTTTGTTTATATAAAAATATCTTTATTTTGCACTCATTTTTGGAAGATGCTTTTGTTGGGTATACAATTCTAAGTTGCAAGTAATTTTTCACTGCCAACTTAGAATTGTATTATTCCCCTGTCTTTAGGTTTCTGCTTTTGGTGTTGAGAAGTTAGCTGTCAATCTGATTGTCATTCCTTTGTTGTGATCTTTTTTCTCTGTCTGCTTTTCTTCTCTTTGCTTTTGATATTCTTTAGCTTAACTGCAGTGTATATAGAATTTCTTCTTCTTTATATTGCTTGGTAAACTATATATCGATATTCTGTATCCATGAATGTATAACTTTCATAAGTTATAGAAAATTCTCAGGCATTATATCCTCAGATATTGTCTCTTCCCCATTCTCTGTATTCTATTCCTCTGAGATTCCAGTTAAACTCATTCCAAACTCCTTAGGTCAGCCATTCATTTATATGATATAACTCCTGTCTCTATGTGTGATATTCTAGGTAATTTTCCTCAGATCTACCCTTCAGTACACCAGTTAACCAATTTGTTGCTTAAGCCCTAGGTTGGGGGTTTTTTGTTTTATTTTCAGTTCAGCAATTATAGTTTTCATTTTTTAAAAGTTTTATTCAATTATTTTTCACATCTAGTAATTCAGAAAGTGTCATAAGTTGCTATTTTTGTTAGTCCATCTTTTATTTCGTTATGCATTTCACACATAGTTTTGGTTTTCTATTCGGTATCTGGGTATCTGGTCATTCTAATAGCTGAAGTCTTGAAGATTTTTATCTATTGCTATTGTTTTTGCTGGCTCCCACTGTTATCTTTTGAGCTCACATTTGGCTGATCTTAATCTGTAGGAATCCTGGAGGCCCATGTTGGAAATATTTCCTCCAGAGACCATTTGCATTTACTTGCACCAGGTGTTAGAACCATTTTCACCCCTTAAAGGGTCCTAACTTAATTTGAAGTCTTTGATTGATCTCCCCAGGTTTCCTCTGGCCCATGTAAGTGTTGAAATTGGCATTTGTCTTCAGAGAAACAGTTACGTTCATGCTTGCTTCATGATCACTGTGCCCTTTATGGAATATGCTCACTTTGGGGGAAGGAGGGTGTCTTGGAGATTTCCTTTACTTTCTATGAATCCAGCAGTGTGTTAAAAAATCTGCTTTATCAAGGAACTTTTCTCATTTTATATTCTCATGTTCTGTTTTTAATTTTATTTAATTTTATTTATTTATTTTATTTTATTTATTTATTTATTTATTTTTAATTTTATATTTAATTTTTATAACTGTACACCTTCCATTGTACGGGAAGTACAAGTCTTTAAACTGGTTTTCTGTGCTAGCAACAAGGGAGACATAGCTCAGGAACCAAGATGAATAGATAATTCACTAGGAGAAAAATTCAACTTTTTCAGTCATGTGTCAATTCCCATCCCTGCCATTCACTGGAATGTAAATGAAACTTGGTATCACCCTTTGGCCTCAGTAACCACGTATTTGCTTTTGTTCTTGACTCCTCTCCAAACCATCTCTCTTTCATATGTATCCCTTTCCTTAGTGAAAGTTTCTCTTTTTGTAAATTCATACTCTCATCTCAATATTTAAAAAAAAAACAAAAAACAAAAAAAACCTGATTCCCTTAAGAGAGGTAAAGCCATGTGAATATAATAGTTATTCTTTGAATACCCAGAAGTGTAAAGAAATAATCATGGACATTAATTCAACAAATACTTCTATCAGAAGTGAAAAAGCCACCTTTCCCAGATAACATTTTCTTTAGAGAGGAAAGTTGTCCTGGACATAAAATCAAAGGGGTTCTGGGCTGAGGCTCTGGAGGGGAAGTAGACAGGGGAGAATCAGGGGCAAGTAGCCATGAGGTTTGACCCTCTGGTTTTCCTCCTTTGCCACACTATCCCGGCCACCACAGGCTCCGGCATAGGACAGAGATGAGAAGTGGGGATTGGAGCTGATGAGATTGTGAGGAAGGGAAGAAGAGAAAACATTGAGGATAGCAGTAGGGAAGAAGGTAGATGGGGTAGGCGGGAAAGTTCTTAATGTTCACCAGGCTTTCTTTAAAAGTAACATGTTTTTAAGTCAAGGACTTCCCACCTACATGGTAATAATCTGTGCCATTTATTTTATTTTTTTCTAGATCAATGAACTGAGCCATGTTCAAATCCCTGTTATGCTGATGCCAGATGACTTCAAAGCCTATTCAAAGATAAAGGTGGACAATCACCTTTTTAACAAGTAAGTACAAGTATGGCTTTTTGTAGGACTGACGTGACTACTAGGAGTATGATTGTTGTGAATTTCTGTAATCACATTATTTTTCAATGGGTAGGAGTAAAGTTTTGCTGATGAAGTTAATCCTGTGATAAACATAACCATCTGTCATTTTCAGAAAAGCAACAGCAGGCCCTCTTGGGTAATATCCTTTTGCCATATGGCATATGGTTCTCTATGAATATCTTATATGTTAAAAGTGATATTCTCATTACAATTTAAATTTTTGAAGCTGTAAGTTACTTGGATTTTTGAGCAGTTATGACCGTCTTGCTCTCTTAGCAAAACTTTGAAAATGATTTCTTTATAAATAAAAGTGATGACTTCATAGAACAATAAAGAATTAAGGTACATTTTTTATAAAACATAATTGGATACGATACTGGGCATTGAGAATGTTTCTCCTTCATTTGAATATACTTTTAGACCTCATTATGGAGACCCTGGGTGGTGTAAATGGTTAAGTGCTCGGCTACTAACTGAAAGGCTGACAATTAGGATCACCCACAGGTGCCTCGGAAGAAAGGCCTGATGATCTACTTCCAAAAGATCATAACACAGTTCTACTCTGACTCACAAGGGGTCACCATGAGTTGGAATCGGCTCAACCACAACTGATTTTGTTTTTTCCTCTGGAGCATCTACTGTGTATTAGGCAGTCCATTGAGAGCTGGAGATACAACAATGTATAAGGTGTGGCTCTGCCCTCCCGGAGCTCACAGTTAGGCTGATGGTTGAAAACTGTCACATACATAAACTACTATAATTAGGTGTGCAAATTACCCCAATAGAGGTGTGTGTGTGTGTGCGTGCATGCGTGTGTGTGTGTTTATGTATAAGGTCCTGTGGTAACACAAAGGAGGAAGCAGTTAATTCTGAATGAGTGGGGTGAGCCTCAAAGAAGACTACAGAAATCTCTCCCACTTTAGGATCAGTTATGAAATTTCCTAATGGAGCCATTGTTCTAATGTGAAGCTGATGTGTTAATTCTTCTCGCAATACTGTTTAGAGGTTGACATTTTGAGGGAATTTTTTTCTATGTGAATTGAGAATGTGACATTTTTATATAAATATAAAATATGTTATTCTGGGAGTGGGAGAACAGTGTTGTTTTGTAAACTTTAATTCAGCAAGTAACTGAAAACTAATCTGAGAGAGCACTCTTTGCTACTTGCCTAGTCCTAGTTCTCCTCCTTCTTTGCTTTTCCTTTACTGTTACCCATACGCGGCCCCTTTCCTTTCCACCTCTTCTTCCTTGGGGAAGTGATGATAATGTGTGGTCAGGATTTAAAAGGTTACATTGTCCGAGTGCCCCTAGGTGGTGAAAGCCGGCAAATATTAACGGTCTGCCATCTTCTATCCCCCAAGATCTTACTGTGGGTTATGCTTGGTTCTGTGAAATACATCTGGGTATAATGTGGATAAACTCAAGCACTGCTTTGGCTACCAGAACTAGATGGTGGCAGAGTCAAGTCTGGTTAACTCATTGCACATCTGAGCTTTCTTCCACAATATCACTGTTACAGAGAAAACATGCCGAGCCATTTCAAGTTTAAAGAATACTGTCCAATGGTTTTCCGTAATCTGCGGGAGAGGTTTGGAATCGATGATCAAGATTTCCAGGTGAGTTGCTTTTATAACATTTGCTTCAAATGGGTTTTATAATGCCTTTTGCTCTGTAAAATGGGATTTATATTTTGTCATTACAAGTAATTATATAATATTAAATTTCATTTTACATAAGAATCTTTCAAGGTGCTTTTTGAAATAACGAGTTCTCTTGATTAGATACCTGTATACTATATAATTGAAGTATAGAAGTTGGTAGGAAAAGAAATTAGTCGATCCTCATTATTTGTGGATTCTGTATTTGCAAATTTGCTTACTCACTGAAATGTGTTTATAACCCCAAGATCAATACTCACAACGTTTTCACTGTCATTCGTGGACACGCGCAGTGGTGAAAAAGTTGAGTTGCCCAATGTGCATGTTCCCACCTGAGGTTGACCTCTGACACTCTACCTTCTCATGCTTAGACTTCCTCATACTCTCATACTGTAAACAAGTGTTCTTTTCACAATCTATTTAGTGCCACATTTTGTTTTTGTTTTTTTTTTTTTTTGCATTTGGGGACTTTTTGTTGGTGATTTCACTGTTTAAAATAGCCCCCAAGCATAGTGCTGAAGTGCTGTCTAGTGTTCCCAAGTGCAAGAGGACTGTGATGTGCCTTACAGAGAAAATAAGTGTGTTAGATAAGCTTTATTTGGGTATGAGTTGTAGTGCTTTTGGCTGTGAGTTCAATCTTAATTAATTAACAATATATATTAAATAATGTACCTTTAAACAGAAACACATAGAACAAGGTTGACAAAAATGTTGTGACCAGAGGCTTGTGGGAACCTGACCTTGTCTTTCCTCTCGGAGCAGTGGTTTAGTACTCGCTGATTCAGTGTTTGCAGCAACTTTATAGAACATAACTGTCACCAGTAATAAGAATCAACTATATAATATTCTTTGGAAAGAAACAGAGTTAATGTAATAGTCTCTATTTCCAGGTGAAAATGTTCTGCAAGCAGAGCTTCATTTTTATTGCTGCTGTAAAGTGTCAACAGCCTATGAAAGAGTGTCGAATTCACATTTCCTATATTTGTGGAGCCTTTTAGGAATTTCAGAATTTTTTTTTCTTGCTGATTTGCTGCTTTTAAATTGACCAACTCTGACTTGCCTGCTGCACTGTGTCAAAGGCTCCACTTTGTTTTGTTTTGTTTTTTTGTTTTCCCCTTGAGAATTTTTTTTTAAATTGTGATTTAGGTGAAAGTTTACAGAACAAATTAGTTTCTCATTCAAAAATTTATACACAGATTATTTCATATCACTGGTTGTAGTCTTGCAGTGTGTCAGCACTCTCCCTCATTCCCTTTCTACCCTGGGTTCCCCATTTCCATTTGTCCAGTCTTCCTGTCCCTTGCTGCCTTCTCATCTTTGTTTTGGGGCAGGTGTTGCCCATTTGATATCATATACTTGATTGATCTAAGAAGCGCGTTCCTCACGTGTGTTATTATTTGTTTTGTAGGTCTGCCTAATCTTTGGCTGAAAGGTGGACTTCGGGAGTGGCTTCAATTCTGAGTTAAAAGGGTGTCCGAGGGCCGTAGTCTTGGGGGTTCCTCTAATCTCTGTCAGACCAGTAAGTCTGGTCTTTTTTGTGAATTCGATAATTTGTTCTGCATTTTTCCCCTGCTCTGTCTGGGACGCTCTATTCTAATCCCAGTCAGAGTGGTAGGTCGCAGTAGCTAGGCACCATCTAGTTCTTCTGGTCTCAGGGTCATGTAGGCTGTGGTTCATGTGGTCAGTTAGTCCTTTGGACTAATTGCTCCCTTAAGTCTTTTTTTTTCCCCTCTCCTTTGCTCCAGACTAGAAGAGACTGATATTTGTATCTTAGATGGCCGCTCGCAAGCTATTAAGACCTCAAACACTACTCACCAAAGTAGAATGTAAGACGTTATCTTTAAGAACTATGTTGTGCCAATTAATGTAGATGTCTGCCAAGCCTGTGGTCCTTTGAAAGTCTCCACTTTGAGTACTACAGTGCTGGCTTGTGTAGTGGCCACAGTACTGTTGTCACTGTCAGGAGCCTGCCTGTCTCCAGAACGGTCCTGTGGAGCATCTTCCTCTGGCTGTTGGTACCTACCAACCATATAACAAATGTATACATCATTGCTTTGTCTGGTTCTCAAGTTTAATTTTAAACTTGAGATAATGGGGCTGCCATATCTGTTGACTGATGATCATTTTTCCTAAGAAAGGAACTGATATTAGTTACTTGATTTTCATATAGCTGGCCAGATTCTTAAAAGTTGAGGACATTTTTTTTTTAAGAACAGAAATCTAATATCGGAGATCCAAGGGCTACTTTCTGGTCTTTTACAACAGTTTGCAGTTTGTTCATTTTACTGTGAGAACACTGACTTATTTTAAATCTCTTCAAATCTAGTAAACACTTAAATTTTCCCTAAACTGAAAATCTTTATTTTATCCACCCTGGGTGCCCTTAGAAGTTGAATGTTGTCGCAGCTTACCCTGGATTTCCCCCTCAAAGAATAGGGTACCTAAAGCAAACCGAGCTTAGTATCCTTTTCTAAAAATTTGTGGGCCCAGTGTTTAAAATTTCTCACCTGCTTACTCAGGCATGAGCTGCTATGTTTTGAAAAAGAAATGTTGGCCAGGCTGCTGGTGGCATTCTCTCCTCTGTGGACCAGGTCCACTGTCTCTACACAGGTCCAGATTCTGAGCAGAGCCTTGGGTGCACGCAAAGAGAGGGTGGGATGAGGGAGGATGTGGGCATACGAGTTTGCTCTTAAAGTCTGTGGCAGAGATTTGTACTTTTTTAATAATTTTTTTTATTGTACTTTAGATGAAGGTTTACAGAACAAACAGTTTTTTCATTAAACAGTCAGGACCCATATTGTTCTATGACGTTGGTTAACAACCCCATGACATGTCAACACTCTCCCTTCTCAACCTCGGAGGACCTTTTTTTTTTTGTTGTTGAAAATATACATACCCAAAGTTACACCATTTCAAAAGTTTCTACATGTACAATTCAGTGACATCAATTCTTCCAGTTGTGCTGCTATTCTCACTATCCTTTTCCAAATTATTCCATCACCATTATCTTCAGCTCACTGCCCCCTAGGCTTCCCGTCAAACCTTTTGA